ACAAGGCTGCAGTCATTCAAGAGTCTGCTGGAGAAGACCTGCTTCCAAGCTCACTCCTGTGGCTGGTGGAGGACTCAGTTCTTTGGGGGCTGTTGGTCAAAGGCCACCCTTAGTTCTTTGCTGCATAGACTTCTGCATGAAGCAGATCACATAGGGGCAGTTGGTTTCCATCAGAAAGAACTGATAGGTGGGGTAAAAACAGAAAACCAGAAAAAATCCAGTGTCTTTTTATACCCTAATCTCAAAAGTGACATCTGGTCCCTTCTGTCACGTAGCATTGGTTGGAAGTAAATCGCCAGGTCCAGGACATGCTCAAAGAAATGGGTGTGCACAATGACTCGCACACAGGAGGTTAGATCTGTTAGAAACATGTCAGAAGTGGCCCACTACATATGCTTGCCCTCTGTCAGGACACTTGGCTCCTCCCACACTAAGATTCTGGAGACATTCCTCCACTGTCTGACACAGCCCCAGTCCATCACACCACCATGCTTTACCAGAAGATCCCTGTAGCAGAACTGGCATGGGAACAGAAATGGACTCTGATCTTGATATTTATGAAGATGGCCTCATGCTGTTCCAGGTCATGCAGTCAGAAAGCCAACAGGATTTCTTTTCCATCAACAGTGTCTGTTCACTGACATCACATCAAGCTACCAATAATTAACAAATGTCTCCAGGGCTTATGATTTTGGGTCAAGTGAAAAAAAGTTCATCTTGTTGCAGAATAGGATGAACCTAAAGTTGAGTCTACAAACAGACAAAGAGAATAAAAAAAAAATTGAACTAAATATCACTCAAATTTAAGTAAAATTGGAAATTATTATAATTGAGCACCTGCATTTGATAATATTGATTTTAATTTAACAAATTATGTATTTATTTTGACATAAGATCTTGTAGAATATTACAATGTATATTATAGTACTATGAAATATGTTATATAACATTAAAGCATAGTTTCTGGCACAATAATTAATTATTTAATAATAGATTTTAATTATATTAATTACATCTTTTACGGTAGCTAATATTACATTATCCTGTTTTATGGTATTATCTATAGAATGTTTTCTAGGATATTATGAGATTCAATATGAGGAAGAAAAGAAATTTGGAAATGAACTTTAGAACTGATTTCCTCTTGCAGGCATGTTCCTTACACCTCTGCCTGCAAACATGGAGGGTGGGTGAATTCCCAATGCTGGCACTCTGCAGGTAGCTGGCACTGGAGTGTAAACCTCCTTCCTTCAGCAGAGTCACAAGGTACCTCCCAGGGCCATGGGTGTAGCTAAGTGGCAGAGCACCTGCCTGGTGAGCAGGAGGCCCTGGGTTCCATCCCAGCACTGCAAACCATTCAGCCAACCCTCAATACCTCCCAAGTGATGTCATTCCCGTTAGAGATAACAAAGTAAAATCCTTCTCTATGTCTTTCTAGAACCTACAATCCATTATGTACAATATCACTCTTGCATCCTGAACCACAATAATGTCTTTTAATATCTGATATTAGTTTGATTAGTTTTGCTTAACAGCTTTATTGACATATAATTCACTTGCAATGTCATGCACCCTTTGAAAGTGTATAACTTAATGTCTTCTAGCCTTTTCATTCACATGTGAGACCTTATGAAGGTCAATTTTAGAACATCTATCACCGCAAAAACAGATTCTGACCCCTTTTAGCTATTTCCTCCTTATCCCTTAAAAAGATGAACAAAAATGCATAAAACAAACTAAATAAAATTTGAAAATGAATAAAAACCATAGGAAAGTATGAAGAAATTTTTTGAAAATTACATTGGTGGTACATGTGTGAGCATAAACTATACATTCCCAATTTATAAAACTCTTACACCCATAGTGTCAAGGTAGATAGTGAGGGGATTGTAAATGGAGTCAATCCCCTCACTATCAACCTTGACACTATTAATTATCATGAATTTAAATTGTGGAAATTAAGTAATTCATTAAACCTTCAAAGATTGTTTGGGGGAGGCCCCTCACAGAGGAATGATTCTTCTGATTATTTCCTTGTAGAAATTAAACATTCCTTAGGGGACACTTGGTACATTTAGTGAAAACAAAGAAAACAGATGTTTTCCTTGGAGGAAATGAGTCCATCTCACCCTCTTGCTGAAATATAGACTGAAAATTTTCCACTGTGCTCTCTGCTCTGTGCCCAGGGGAGCTGAATTGTTTGGAGAGTGAGAATACAACACAAAGACTGACTCAGTGAGGAGCACAGAGAATTCAACCCTTGAGCTGCTAGAAATTTGAAGCAAGCCCCTGCTCCCCTCTCCTGACTTCTTTGTTCCAGGCCCCTGTGAAAACCCAAGTGGCTCCCTGGAACCGGCTGTGCAGAAGGGACATCTCCAGTGGTAGCCCTTGGAGAGAGTCGGCGTGTCCAGTGTGGCTGGTGCAGCAAGAAGGAAAAGGGAGGTGGGCACCGGGCTGTACTCCAGGACAGTGACCCTGGGCAGCCCAGGGTAGCCAGTCTCTGAAGGTGAAGGTCCTGCACGTGCAAGGTACTTTTACTCTCTGGAGGAGTCTGAAATGGCCATTCCTTGAAGGCAGTGCTTTCTGGAGAGTCTCCCTATCTCCTCCACTCCCTCCCTGAATGACAGGTCCCTATTAGATTTCCTCTTTCAATCATTTATTTGCTAACTGCTCTCTGAAGATCCCTTCTGCATCAGGTATTGCTCTGATGTGACCGGTTGTTCTTTTGTAATCTACCTATGCTGCTGTCAGACTAACTTAATGATGTCACTGAATAGCCGCAGAGTGTGCCTGATTCGCTGTTTTTATCTGTTCACTTCAATGGGGCCATGAAATATGATAACACAGCTACACCTGATGTTGGGTGCTCAGGTGTCTTCTGCTGGCATCTCAGGAGGACATGCTGACTGAGCAGTGTAGCAGCCCACCATCTGGTAGGACAATCCCGGGCTCTTCTCACCAGCTAGAAAGTCTCCTCTTTCTTTCCCCTGATGAGCAATGACCTGTCCTGCCTCTCTCAGTTCAAACATTCCTGTTTCAGAGAAGCCTCTCCTTCCCACCTTCACTGACTAGATTGTGCTCAGTGATTTTTTTGTGTCTTGAATTAGTCAGTGTGCTGCAAAGGCAACACAGTTCTGATTCTTGATGATCTTTTATTCTTAAATCATAAATTGGCCTGTTTTACCATTATTGGGTTTATATACTGTTTGAATATTGGCAATCAGATCCATCAATTGTTTATTTTGGCCATTGATTCTGAAGGTTTTAAAATAATATCTCTCTACTCAAGATCATATGGGCACACATTTCCATGCATCCCTTGTACTTGACTTTTTTTTTTTTTTAAGTACTGGTGACTGAACTCAGGAGCACTGTACCAGTGAGCAACTTCATTTCATTATAACTTATGTTTCTTCACATATTCGTTGTTTTAGTTGTGGGGATTAAGCCCAGGGGCATTCTACCACTCACCTACATCCCCAGCACATTTTAATTTTTAATTTGAGGCTGGGCCAAGGCTGGCCTGGAGCTTGCAGTGCCCCTGCCTCTGAATTCTGAGTAGCTGGGATTACCGGTGTGCGTCACAGTGCCTGGCTTTTGCTTTTCTCTGTAATGGTGGTGTGTTTAGGATTCTTCCTCTTATCCATGTAGTCTGCAGACTTTTTCCTCTTCCTGGACTGATTCACATGGCGGATTTCTCTGAAAGAAGGAGCCATAGGGATCATCACTAATTATAAGAACTATGTGCATTTAAAACTGGAAACACAGATATTGCTTCTATCGATTAGAATTTCACCCTTAAGGACGTCCCCATTAAGAGGGATATTGACAAGTGGTAGCCATGCCAACAGATTTATTGCAATGTTAAGAATGCTTCAGAAGTTCACACTTACGAAGTGCCTGTAATGTGTCACAGAAACCACAGTGGAGGAATTTCATGCAGTATTACATTTAATTTCACTCTGTACACCTATGATATAGTGAATACTTATGACTCCTACTGTGAGATAAATGATGTAATGTAACAGAAGTAATTTTCTCATGTTTCCCCAGGTGGCACATTGCTGAACCAATATTGTATTAAATGAAATCTACGCAAGAATCCAATTAGTAAATCACAGCTACATGCTGCACTTTGTGTGTGTTATGTATCCACAATATGTATCACAGATGAGGAGATTAATAATGATTGTGTTAATATTAACAATGGCAGGGGCTGGGGATGTAGCTTAAGCGGTAGCACGCTCGCCTGGCATGCATGCGGCCCGGGTTCAATCCTCAGCACCACATACAAACAAAGATGTTGTGTCTGCCAAAAACTGAAAAATAAATATTAAAAATTAAAATACAAAACAAAACAATGGCAGAAATCCATTTTAAGGCCCTATAGGGTCTAAAGCAATTTTAAACCTCAAAAATACAGTAATATTAATAACTGTACTGTTAGGAAAAAAAATAGGTAGTGTGATTTAGCTGTCACAAATTGATAAAGTGTCCAGTCAAAATTATAGGTTGAGTTCAAATTCCATATTTAATTCCTATTACAGCACTATTAGAATGCCTAATGAGGTAGGTATCAAGAACACATCATGAAATATCTTCAAATACTTTCAAGGAGTCATGAAAGAAGGAATTAGTTGATGTCCATAGGTTCAGATAGAACAACCAAAACTAGAGAGTGGATGATAAAGGGAGAGGACTCTCTGCTAATTTGAGGAAGGCAGACTGTCTTTACACACTTGGAAATAGAACTGGGTTGTCATTCTGCTGAGTGGGTCATTGTCGTCTGGAGGGTTTAATGCAAGAGGAGTGGCATCCACCCAAGGGTGAGATGGTAAAGAGAGAACATGGGAGGGGCTAGTGGGATATTCTGTGAAGGTTGCATTTCCCTCTTTCCCCAGCAGATGCACCAGCTCTATGGAAGTGGAAACTGCACAAGTGAATCAGAATTCCTCCTCCTGGGCCTCTCAGATGGTGCTAAACTGCAGCCCGTCCTCTTTGGACTGTTCCTGTCCATGTACCTGGTCACAGTGCTTGGGAACCTGCTCATCATCCTGGCTGTCAGCTCTGACCCCCACCTCCACACCCCCATGTACTTCTTCCTCTCCAACCTGTCCTTTGTTGATATCTGCTTCATCTCCACCACAGTCCCAAAGATGCTGGTGAACATCCAGGCACAGAACAAAGACATCTCCTACACAGAGTGCCTGGCACAGGCATATTTTTTAAATACATTTGCTGCAATGGATAATTTCCTACTGACCATGATGGCTTATGACCGGTTTGTGGCCATCTGTCATCCATTGAACTACATAGTCACCATGAATCCACGGTTCTGTGTTCTTCTGGTTCTTCTGTCTTGGCTCATCATGTTCTGGGTCTCCCTGGTTCATATTCTACTGGTGAAGCGACTGACCTTCTCCGCTGGCACTGTTATCCCACATTTCTTCTGTGGACTGGCTCAGCTTTTCATGGTGGCCACATCTGATACACTCATCAATAATATTTTTCTGTATGTGAGCACCACTGTGCTGGGGGTTTTTCCTATGACTGGGATCCTCTTCTCCTACTCTCAGATTGTCTCCTCCTTATTGAGGATGTCCTCTTCTGTGGCCAAGTATAAAGCATTTTCCACCTGTGGGTCCCACCTCTGTGTGGTTGCCCTATTTTATGGGGCAGGCCTGGGGGTTTACCTCAGTTCTGCTGGGACCCATTCTTCCCAGAGAACCATGATTGCCTCCGTGATGTACACTGTGGTCACCCCCATGTTGAACCCCTTCATCTATAGCCTGAGAAATAAGGATGTGAAGGGGGCCCTGTGGAGACTCCTCAGCAGAGCAGGTTTTGACCCTTGATGGATGGATAACTGACCTCAGAATTAGTGGAAAATATATTTCATAATTCAAATGTGAACTTGACTATCTAGGCTTATTTTTTTTCCTTGAGTAAATGATTAATTGCTTTCATTCCCTATGACTTTGCTGCTTTATATTTTTGTATGTATTTCACCCTATTTACTGCTTTAGTGATCCATTTCAATTTTCTTCCCTAAACATAGTCCATAAGTTTTCTTACAGGAATTTCTGAGTTTTCCAATTTGACATAGAATCTACATCAATGGGGCTGCGGTTGTGGCTCAGTGGTAGTGTGCTTGTATAGTATGTGTGAGGTACTGGGTTCGATTCTCAACACCGCATATAAAAAATAAAATACAGATCCATCGACATCTAAAAAACAAATAAGAACCCACATCAAGTGCTAACATGGGTTCTTCAAAACTTATGAATGTTCTTCACCTGAACATCAATGTATTCTTGTTTTCCCTAGCAGTGAAATGAAAATCATCAAGGTGCTTACCACGTCTGTCCTGTGCTTGTTGATCTTCATCTTTGATTTTACTTATCCTGCAAAGAGTTCTTTGACGTATTCTCTCTCATGCACATAATTTCTGAAGGGAGCAGACTCTCCATGGGTGCGTAAGAGCAAGTCTGCACTGAGCACACCCTTCTCCCTCTGTTATCCTACTTTGGCTCAATGAGTGTAATGTGAACTTGACATTCCAATTTCATGAATGTGGTGATACAGTGCCTCATCTTGCTTCCCTCCTTGTGATCTTGCCCTCTTCCTTTCTTCCTTCCTTTCCTGTTTTCCTCCTTGGTTTTGGCTATCTTATGAATGAATCTTAACTATTTATCTTCTTTCTATGGTGGAATAATTTTTTTCCTCCAGGGTACATCATAAACTGCTCATCCACCCATGCACTGATGGACACCTGGGTGATTTGAATGGTCCTGTGTGAATGGTCCTGCTCCTGTGGGCACTCACAATAGTGTTCAGAGCTCGAGGACGGGTTCGTGCTACATTGATGATGCTTGGGTAGATGACAGACTGCACACACGGGGGTGGTCCCGTAACTTCAGGCTGTCTAGTGATGTCACACCCATGCTGATTTATGTAAGTGACTTTGTGATGTTTGCACAATGACAAAACTGCCCAACTGTGCACTTCTCAGGACATACTCATGCGAGACTCTATGTTCAGTTGCTTGGATAAAATGTACATAGGAAGGAGATACTGGGTAATAAGGCAATGGTAGGTACAACTTAATGAAGAATCACCAAACTGCTTTTCGTTGTAGCTGGCACGTTTCATGTCTAGTGTGGGAGGTTCAGGCCTCTTTACCTTGCTGCCAAAACTCATCATCTTCAATCTGATGTAAATTAAAGCTTTCTATTGGCTGTGAAGCAATCTCATGTTGCTTTGGATTTGCATTTCCCTGTAACTAATTGAGCATCTTTTTTAGGGGCTTGTTGGCAGTTGATGGATCTTTTGTGGGGAAATGTCTTACGGAGTTGATGCTCATTTCGTAATTATGCAGGTTGTACCTTTGTTTCTCACCTGTAAGAGTTCATGACATGGTCTAGATACCACCCTTATCATATATGGTTTTAGCAATATTTCCCCCTTCTGTATGATTTTTCCCATGTCTCCACTTGGAAGCTTATTGTTAATGATTAGCTAATCAGCTGTTCATCAAATCTATCTCAAATTTGGTGACTCTGACTGCTAACTCCCTAACTTCTACCCCACAGCTGACCTGGTCACCATCTTCTGTCTAAGTTCTGCTGTTAGATCCACCTCTAAGTGAGCTCTGGCAGTGCTTGTCTTCCTATGGCTGGCCCTGTCACCTACATCATGTCACACTGGTTCCTCCATAATGCATCAAATACCCAGATTGTTTTACTTTTCATGCACAGTGGTATTTCATTGCGTATGTACAGCATATTTATTTATTTACATGATAATAAACACTAATGGTGATTCCCTACATTAATTATTGTGAGTACTGCTGCCACGATGATAGGTTTGTACATCTACTTCGACATTCCAATTTCATGCACATTATACAGATGTGCAGTAATGGGATTACTGAATCTTATGGTAGCTGTATTTTAAATTTGAAGGAACCTGCAAATGTTTCCCATAATTATTACACTGATTTATGTTGCCCAATATTGCAGTCAGAGGTCCCTTTTCTCCATATTCTCACAAACATGTTTTGTTTTGTTTTTTGAGATTAAACTTTCTAACTGGTGTGACCTGATGTCTCATTGTGGTTTTCCTTATGATTACCCAGATGATCTGTGATGCTGAGTCGTTCTTCATAAATCTGCTGAACATTTTTATCTTCTTTTGGAAAATGGCTAATATTACCACCCTGCAGACCCAGCCTTCATCACCAAGGACAGAAACTCTATTCAAACCATAGAGCATTGTTTAAAGGGAAAGTTTTTGTTTTTGTGGGTTTTTTTTTTTTTTTTTGTATCCATGATGCTTAACCATTGAGCCACATTTATATTTTATTTAGAGACAGGTTTTTGTTGAGTTGTTTAGGGCTCGCTAAGTTTCTGAGGCTGGCTTTGAACTCACGATCCTCCTGCCTCAGCCTCCCCAGGAGCTGAGATTATAGTTGTGAGCCACCAAGCCCAGAAAAAAATAATGTTCAAGAATGCTTCGTTAGACTGGCCTGATGGTACATGTCTGTAATCACAGTGGCTTGGGAGGCTGAGGCAGGAGTATCACAAACACAAAACCAGCTCCAGCAAGTTTTCAAGGACCTAAGCAAATTTGTGAGAGCCTGTCTCAAAATAAAAATAAGAGTAAAAAGAATTAAAAGGGTTGGGGATGTGGCTTAGTAGTTAAGCCTCCCAGGGTTCATTATCCACTGTAGAAAGAAGAAAGAAAAGGAGGGAGGGAGGGAGGGAGGGTTTTTGAATATGATTTTCCAAAACTTTATTAAGGATTTTTTTCGTCTAGGTTCATCATAGATATTGGTCTGATGCTTTCTTTCCTTGATATGCCCTTGGTATTGGTATCAGGGTGATGCTGACTTCTTGGTCTGATGCTTTCTTTCCTTGATATGCCCTTGGTATTGGTATCAGGGTGATGCTGACTTCTTCATAGAATGAATTTGGCAGTGTTCCCACCCTTTGTATTTTACAGAATGATTTGAAGAGGATTGGTGTGTGTTCTTCCTTAGAGGTCTGGTAGAACTTGACTGAGAATCCATCTGATCCTCAGCTTTTTTTTTTTTTTTTTTTAAGAAACTAGAACAAACATTTCTAAAATTTATTTGGAAGAGTGAAAATAGAGATTCCTAACAATTAAAGCAGAAACTTTGCAACTGTTAGAGTATACACAGGCATGACACCCCAAAAAATGGCATAAGCACCAACCTCCTTAGTAAATGGCCATTTTATTAATTGGGTTATTTGAGGGCTTTGATGTTTTTTTGAGTTCTTTGTATATTCTGAATATTAATCCTCCTTTGGAGGAGCAGCTGGCAAAGAACTTTTTGCATTCTGTAGTCTCTTTCTTTACTGTGCAGAAGATTTCACAGTTTCCTTTGCTGTGCAGAAGATTTTTAGTTTGATGCCATCCCACTGATTATTTAATTTTCATATTTGGTTCTTGTTAGGGAATTTGGCACTTGTGCCAACATTCTGGCATTTTTCTTTTTTTTTTTTGCAGCCACGGGATTGAATTCAGGGTTGTTCTACCACTGAGCTACATGCCCAGGTGTTTCTACTTTTTATTTTGAGACAGAGTCTCACCATATTACCAACTCTTGCCTCCACCTCGTCTAGGCTGTCCCTGAACTTGTGATCCCTCTGCCTCAGCTTCCAGAGCAGCTGAGATTACAGTGTGCTACTGTGCCTGGCTACACCTTCATTACTTACAGAGCATTCAAGTTTACCCTTAATTCTATGAGTCCATCTCATAGGTGCTATTAGAGAAAAATCCTACTGAATATTCATGATATAATAAATAAATAAAATATATTTTGTCTCTCCAGATTTCTTGGAGATCTTTTTGTGCTCTGGACACCGAACAAGATTTGACTAAGGATGATTCTTAATCCTTAGATTTGTTAAGAAACTGGAGATGGAGTAAAATGTTCCTGAAGGGAAGCTGGGTACTTTGGAGTCCACACCTGAGAGAATAATAGTTTTAGGAGAAAAAAAAAAAAAAAAAAAAAAAAACCCTGCAGGGCTGGGTGACTACATGCCTGTAATCCCAGTTATCAGAAGGCTGAGGCAGGAAGATTCCAAATTCAAGGACAGTCTGGGCAAGTTATCAATATCTTATCTCAAAGTGAAATTAATAAAAAATAAAAAGGGCTGGGGTCTGCCTCTGGGGTCCCTGCCTAGGCACCAGGAAAGTGCATAAGTGAAAGCATTGGCCCCCCTTGCCTCTTTGCCACACCACTTCCTGAGCAAACTAGGTCATTACAATGGAATTTCTGAAGATTGGGCTCTATTATCTTTGCTTCTCCAAATGGGGGACCAAACAGCATTGCACTGGGAGCCCAGAGGGGCAAGGACGTTTATGTCGTTTATGCTCCACTCTGCTTCTTTAGGTTGGTTCAGTGTTCAATAGCCAGCATCAGGGAAAAAGCAAAAAAGGAAAAAAATTCCAGTCAGGTTTAAGATGTGGGGCTGGGGTAGGTAAAAGGCATGGATGGTAAACATGGCAGAACAGATCACTCCTCTCACCCCCAGGAGGGAACCTCTCCAGAAAGACAATCAAAACAGCAATTTATTTAATAAGAAGTTAGAGGATTAATCCCCCTTCCCCCATTTGCAGTTCAATGTTCACTTATCCCAGGCCACAGGGAAATGCCCCCCCTGGGCCACCCAGGTGTTGCTCTGACCAGGTGTGCTTAGCTTTTTGTCCTTGCCCCTCTGGGCTCCCAGTGCAATGCTGTTTGGTCCCCCATTTGGAGAAGCAAAGATAATAGAAATTCCATTGTAATGACCTAGTTTGCTCAGGAAGTGGTGTGGCAAAGAGGCAA